AAAGAAACAACGAGTGCGGGGGACAGGTTGCAGCGCGGGAAGCGCGGCCGCGCCCGGCGCGGCCTCGAGGGGGCCCCGGGCCCCAGCGCTTTCTCATTCCCATCGTCGCCCTCCTTCCCCGCCTCCTCCGACCCACCCATCGCCCTCCAACCCCCGACCGCCCCTCCCTCCCCCCCCCCTCCTGCTCTTCGCTCGGCGCGGCGGGGGCCGATGCCGCCCCCCCGAAAGAGGCCCGCCCGCCGGCGAAGCAGCCCCTTCACACGGGGCTCGCTCGCCCGTCGCCGCGGCAGGGGGCGCGGCGACGAGGTCGCGCGCGCCGCCGCGCAACGGCCCAACCGCGACGATGGCCGCCGCTGGCTCGCCGGCAGCAAATGCCTTGCAGGCCCAGCGAGCGGCCTAGACCCGAATGACAGACCCCCATCAAGGGTCGGCCCCCCCGCAGCAAAGGGGGAGGGCGCAAGCGCCCGCGCGGGCCCATATGCCGAGGCCCCATGGGGTTGATCAACAGAAAAAAGGAGAAGGAACGCGCGCGCCTGCCCAGGGCCGAACCCCCAGCCCCCCCGCGGGGGCGGCCCCTCTGCCAGGGAGGGCGGGGCACGCGCGCTCGAGAACGCCCGGCCCCGACCGGGCGCTCTCGAAAGGGGCGCCCGCGAACGCCCAAACCAGCAGCGGCGCGCGAGCAGACGCCGGCTGAATACGAGATGCACCGGGGGGGCGGCAGCCCCCAGGGCGGCCCGGCCGCGCGCGAGGGGGCCGGCGCGGCCCGCCCCAGACCATGCGCGGGTGCGCGCGCCAGAAGCCTGCTCGCTCAGCGGGCGCCGGCGCAGCTTGGCGCGGGGCGGCGCTGACGTCGCGCGGTCGACGCTGGCGTCAGCCCCCGCAACGCAGCCCCCTTTCGCGCGCGTGAAGGGGCTGCCCCGCCCGAGGCCGGGAACGCTGCAGCGTGGGACTTAACCCAGAGTTCGACGCCGTGGGGCCCTACGGCGACTTCGCGAAGAGGGCGCCGGAGGCCCGCTGCGCGCGGCGGAGGGGCGCTGCCACGCGTCGCGCATCGCGCGCCGAACCATCGCCATCATCGTCTGCAGCCGATGCCGCCCCCCCCCCGCCTCGAGCCTGCCATGGTGGCCCGAAGGCGCTGAGCTGTTTGATGTATGCACTGAGCTTTCTCGGCCCTCGGAAATATGCGGGGCCCCTCTTTCTGCCTCTGCAATTGCTTTGCCATCTTTCTTCCTCTCTCCCATCTCGGGGGCCCGAGCCGTTCGGGCCAAGCGCGCCCGCCGCATTTGGGGGCCCATAACGGGCTCCACCCGCCGCGTGCGTGACAGGTTTCCGCGGTCGCGGCGGCGGAGGCCCGCTGCGCGCGGCGGAAAAGCCGCCGGCGCACGCTGCGCATCGCGTGCCGAACCATCGCCATCATCGTCTGGCGCCAGCGGCCCGAAGGCTTGTGTTTCGTTGCTGGCAAAGACAGCCTCCTATCTATCCTCTTTCTGCCTCCCCCAGCCCCCCCAGACGCGCGAAGATGGGCCGTGGCCAGCGCGGTCCTGCCCCATCGAGGGGCCAGGGGGCAAAATGACAATCAAGCACGCCACGTGACACTGGCCAGGCATGGCAGATAGCTCTGCCTTGGTTGAACTGTTGCACAACCGCCTCCAACTCCTCGCGCAGGCGGGGCGAGACCACCATGCGAAAGCGGGAAAGAAATAGAAAACCTGCCCGTCGACTCATTAGAGTGACCGCTGGACCGAGCATGCCGTCTCAGGGAAGATGGGTGGGGTGGGTCCGACTGGTGGTAGCGCCGTGGTGTCTCTGGCCTCCAACCG